ATACACAAGACATGAAGGAATTGGAAGAAAAACAGCAGATCTTGAAACAGCCTTACAAATCGGTCCTCAACCATTACATCCCAATAGCTCATAGGAAGCCTTTAAACTGCACAGCAGGAAAGGCGATTATGAATAAAAAGCAATTTGTAATTCGTCTCCTAAAACCTTGCATAGCTGATGCATGTCTGTGCTTAATGGGAGACTGATCACCTGAAATATATCCTTGGAAATCCCAATTTAATCCCCCCATACCCCCAATGTTCCTCATAACTTACTGAAAAACAAAGTGGAAGCTAAAATTATTCCTTCAGTGGCTTGTTGGCATGGAAGCAATATCACCCATGAGCAAAGCGGTACTAGAAGGGTAAAAGCTTAAAAATCAGTCACACCAAGGGACAGGCAGTGTGGAAGTGCCTCATTTAAGGAGAATCGGAAACTAAAATTAAAAGAAAAGCCAGAGACCAATAGTGGGGTACAGAGGGACAGCATCAAGGCAAGGAAAGTTAATTTTTCCTTTTAAAAAAAGGGAGGATGGCAATAACTTCTGTCTCATTTCAAACCTACAGTGGAGAAAGCCACAGGCACCAATTGTACCTACATGTCAAATCCTGACATTCCTATTAGCAAGGTGCCCAAGGGCAGGCCTGGTTTTTAGCAGGGCACTTATTTTACAAGGTGTGTGTGAATATCTATGGGCATAGGTGTGTGGAGTGAGAGTTTAACTTGTCCAGTGGGAGGCTTTCAAAAGATGCACTCTGAAAAGCAGCAGGAAAGTAAGCACTGAGAAAGTAAGGTGGAAAGTATAAAAGGGAACAAAGGGAAAAATTGAGGAGTAAGAAGTATTTTTTCAGTCTAGGAAAACAGAAGGCAATTCCTTCCATAGGAGGGGGGAAAGGGACAATTGGAAATATCAGATAAAAAGATGACGAGGAAATGGTAAAAGAAAGGAACCGATAAACACAAAATAGAATTATTGAATAAAATTAAGAACATTACAAAACACAATACAGGAAGTTACAAAGTTATGAACTTCCAACATATGAACTTATAGTTACAAACAACCTTCTCCGCTCCCTCCCTACCATGAAATCTTAGCACTGCACCAAAGGGTGTCTGTATTTCTTCATCCCTTTTCCTCCCCCCCCCCCCCAATAGATCTCTCTCCAAATCCTTTCCCCTTTTCCTCCTACGGATCTCTCCTAACCCTGTTTCCCTTTCTTTCCAATGGATCTGTTTCCTTTCCTTCCAGTGGGTCTCTCCAAATCTCTCCCTCCTTTCTTCCTATCGATTTCTCCACCCCTTTTTCTTTATCTTCCTATCTATCTCACCTTCCTACTTCCTGAATTTCTCTACTTCTCCTCTCCTTTCTTTCAGGCCTGACACCACTTTTAATTGCCCTGGTTCAGTGCCATGCAATGCTGTAATCTGTAGTTTGGTGATATAACAGCATTCTTTGGTAGAGAAGGCTAAAGACCTTGTAAAACTGCAGCTCCCAGAATCCCATAGAAATGAATAAAGTGGTGTCAAACTGCATTCATCCCACAGCATAATTACATCACAAGGAATCTGGAGCAGAATAAAAAGGGGAGGCTCCTGGAGGGGAGGGTTATCTATTTCTATGGGGTTTTTTACCCATTTCTTGGAAGCTTTGGTGTTTTTTAAAAAGGAATTCTAATCACACAGGAAAAATAATGTGCACCTTTTTTGGCCAAATTACAAAGAGTGCACTTTTTGCTGGACCTGTCCTGAGTTACAAACAAATTTAACTTAAGGACAAACCTATAGACCCTATCATGTTTGTAACTTGGGGACTGCCTGTATACCAAAATCATGAAATCCCTAGCAGGTCCGAAGCTAAAACAATCCCTAGCAGGTCAGAAACTGAATCTAACGTGGGGATATTCATAAAGGTGCATGAAGAGCAGTGGTGCCTAGTGTTTACCATGTCAGAGGGTGGGGAATCTGTTCCAGATTTTATACAGCAATTCAAGGTACTGAGAACCTATGTGGGATAATATGCATTGCTCCTTTACAGTTTACATAAAAATCCAGAGCAGTCTTTCTATGCTACTGGCAAAAAAATCACTAGCAGTCAATGTACAAAACCTAGTAGTTTTGTTGTCCCCTTGCCCCCCCCCCCTTGATTAAATTCTACTAAATTCACAGGATGAAAGCCCTGTGCTGTGATAATCATCTGAAGCTAGGCCCTTGGCATCACTCTGGTACTATTACCCTTCATATTACAAGCTCCACATCACCAACTCTGTAGGGTTCCTCAGCTTTCCAGGGCAGGACTGAGAAGGTGAGTTCAGAATGGGCAGCTCCTCCCTCGGTTATGCTGAAAGAAAGACTTGAATCCTCATTGCCTTCTCTCAAGAAGAAATACAAGCTTGGAAAACATATTACTTTGAATCCAGACTTAACTGCAGTAAACTGCATTATATAACAGTGTAGACAGGGCCATAGACTAAACTCCCACAAATCAATGGGACTTGAATCAGTCAAGAAGAAATTCTATTTTTTTCCCTCAGTGGTCAAACTCTATGTATGGCCGAATCTCAATTCTGCCCATTGTAACTTAACCAATTGATTTTTCTTTGTTCTTTTTACACAATCAGAATTTTGACAGCTGCAGAGACTCTATAGGTTGGAAAATACACAATACTCTAATCACACATTTCCTATTATGTGCACACCTTAATCACTTTCTCCTTGCCCCATCTCACAGCACTTACATGGATTCACCATGTCATAATATCATAGAACTGAGAACTCAAAGCCACTGTTGTATTTCCTGATCCTTATCACAACAGTGTGAGAACCTGCTGAGAGGAAACAGTTTACACACGACTCGTAGTCTATGTAAACATGACTCTGGAAGATGAAAATATCTGGGCATACTCTTTCTGCTCTTATTTGTTTCAAAACACAAAGGCTCTGATTCAACAGTCATAGGTTTTTAAACCAGTTTGGACATGAATGTTTTTCTGCAATTTTCCTAAATTATAATGCTGAAATGCAGTCAAACTGTGAGTGTCTGAAAAGATGCCTGGTTTTAAGGCATTTCTGGCTTTCTTATTCAGTGTAAAATAACTTGAATGTTTATAAACAGAATGATTGAATAAGCAAAACTGACAAATTGGTCCATCAATACACATGACTTTCTATGTGTGGGTTGAAATCCTTGCATATTCAGCTGCTTTTATGGAGATATAAGGTTACCAACACTTCTCATCTTTAACTTCTATTAGGAAATCAAATACCTTAGATCATTTCAGAAGGAGGTGATTTAATACAATAACTGTCCTGATGAACAGACTAGTCACACACAATGACTGGTAGTACAGAGTGGAGCTGCACACCCCCATTTACATGAAAAAGGAAAATCTAGATCAATCAGATAGTCAATGAATTTATACCTTGCTTGTTCCCCAAGATTGGGAGATTCAAGGCACTTGACAGATCAAAAGAAATACAATGTTGCACCTATAACCACAGCATCACTCAAGAGTCCAGAGTAAAAGCAATCAGTTTATTGCAAACAGCACACAAAAGATATATAATAAAAAAGCAAGAATAAGGAATTAAAGATTAAAAATCAAAATAGTCAACAATCAATTGTCTCTTAGAAATCCCAAAGCAGTATAGTCCAAAGATAGTCCCAAAATACACAAAGACATCTTCAATCCATAAGCAAAACGTGAACCAAGAAAATGAAGGATACTTGAGTCCCAAAACCAAGGCTTGAAACAAGAACCAAAGTACTCAGGCCTGTACTTGAAAGCCACATTGCCTGAACTGAAGAGCAAAGTCCCCATTAGCTCTTAATAACCAGACATGAAAGCATTACATCTACCTTGTAATTCCTGCTTCCCACAAAGCCTTGTTGATCTACAAAGCTGACTATCTGTTCAAATCTGAAAGAGTTCCTCCTTGCTTGGGTCAGTAGCACCAGGTGCATTCCCATGAGAATTTCTCATCAATTCATCTTTGCTAAACTCCTTATCTGGAGAGGAGGACTCCAAATCCTGTCCCGGGCCTTGTGTTCAGAGGCAATTATATTCTCAGGTCTGCATCTGTGTCAGCCTCTATATCTAAAAGATTTTCACTTTCCTGGCCTGCCTGAGAAGGAATCCCAGGACCTGAATCAGAATTAATCCCAGGAAAGCCCACAAACCCATCTGACTCTAAGTCATCAGTGAACCCATCAACCCCTGGCTACTGTGACTGCTGCTGAGTTACAACATACAAATTAAAACATATGTACCTAAAACATAAAAATGTGAAAATTTAAAGGGTATTCAACTTATGCAAAATTAAAGCTATTTTAAAAATAAAAAGTATAAAGTAAAAGTATCATGTATGTGCGTGTGTCTACAGATCACCTGCATATAGATGGGGATCCCAATACATTTCATACAGTTCTCTTAGCAAAGGAATAGTGTGAAATGCATTATCATAGTCTTCTTCTAAAATACAGTACACACACAAAACAGTAAACCTTTGCAAGTAAACAGTCCATTTCCAAACACTTGTGGATGAAAGGACAACAAGGAGCGAGCCCTTGCCTTCATCTGGAGGGATTTCTAGAGCTGAAGAAGGAGCCACAGAAAAACCATCCATTGTTCCCACCAAATATGCTTGTGAAAGTGGTGGGATCCAGAGGAGTTTCTTGAAAGATCTTAAACACCCAAGGATAATCATATAGGAAGATGCATACAGACAAATGAGCCAAGTTTGTAAGACTGGTGTACCAAGAAAGGCAATGGCCTACACATGGAGACAAACCTACCTTGCAGATTTGGGCTTAGAGCCTTTAAACTAAAAGCTAACCAGCTCCACGAGATTGCCTAGATGAGATTTGTTAATGTCACTGCTTCAAAAAAAAAAAAAAGCATTTCAATTTCCCCAGTTTACATTAAAATAAAGAATCTTGTCTTTATTAAGACAACACATAATCACATTAAGAAATTGTCAGGACAAAGTCAACGGATTTTTACCTTGGGATCTGCAGTGAGCAACTTAAATGCTTGATACACTTGTGCTTCTTTCACGCCTCCACCAAGATCCAGGAAATTGGCAGGCTTTCCTCCATTAAGGGAAATTATATCACAGGTTGCCATAGCAAGGCCAGCACCATTGACTGTAATTAAGAGAGTCAGAGAGTTGCATTTGTAAAGGGTAAAAGGCAGACTTGCATATATATGAAGTGTCAAGACTAAAACAGATTTATTTTTTTTAAAAATAAAGCAAAGAAATGTGGCAGTAAGGAAGAAATATGGAGAAAGGTAAGGTTGTGAAAAGAAGCAGGATACAAGGTACCAATTATGCTGGCATGCAAGTCAAATGGGTTCCAAAGGAACATACATTTGCTCAAATATACCTTAATTCATTGAGTGAAACTCAGAAAAAAAATCACTGTTGAACATAATCAATAAAATTAATAAGCAGCATAAGGAAACAATTCATTCAGTACAGATGATTAGGATTGTGCATGGACTTGTTTTGGATGTTTGCCTTCAATTTGTTCGGCTGGTTCGGAAGCCCATAATGGCATGGGCTATGCCATCTTTTTTTACTGGCTGCAACAGAACAGTGGCTGTCGAAAACCGGCTACTTTTGGTTTCTTTCGGTTAGATGTTAATTGCGGGGAGGGAGGCAGCCGCTAGCAGCAAACACATAAACAATGATGAGTAATTCTGTAAGCTTTCAGGACATCAACAAAATATTGTGGGCATACAAATATGCAAATACAAGAACAAATCATGGCATCTGAAGGAAACCATTGGGTTTACAATGAACACATTGACAAAAATAGCTGTCACTGTTGTTACCTTCTGTTTGTAGAGGGAAGAGACAGACTCTAAACCACCAGACCCACAGATGTATATTTCCCCATTTATTTGTTTTGAAATATGTCTTTACTTCCCTTCACCAGAATACGTTTCAAGGGCAGTTTACTGAATTCAAATATGTGTATGAAGAAGATACATAATAAAACATGAAACAGTGTAAAAATGAAAAAGCAGCAAGTTTATACCATGTGAAACATTGAAGACTCTTCAAAATAAGTAATATTGATGCAAAGATAGGGAGAGTATTTACTATGCATCGTGCTGCTGGCAAAAAGCCCCCTGGCTGTGTTTGTCACTGACTTCACTTCTGAAAAAATGAGAAGAGAAGTGAAAGCGCAAAGAAAATAGTATAAACAGAACTAGTGGGGTGTAAAAGTTAAAATATTGAATGGGATTTGGCATGTCCAAATCCTAGTCCCTACCCAGCAATGTCAGTGGGTGCCCTTGGCCACTCTCGCTCAGTCTGACCTATCTAACAGCGTCGGTGTAAGAATAAATTGGGAAGGTGAGGTATTGTGTGGGATAGAAACGCAACCTATAAGTAAATGCAGAATGACTCTTGTATCCCTAGGGGATATATTCCAAGTCCCCTGGTGGTTCCCTAAACCATGGATAACAGCAAACCCTGTGTTTTTACTATATGTGAGCTGGAAGCATATCATAGAATCACTCTGGAAGACCTAAAAGGCCCACAAACACTTCTGGGGGTGTGGGGTGGGGCTGGAGAGTAAGATAAGTGAACCATGGATAACAAATTTGTGGACAAGGTGGGCATATTGTATAACATAAATAAACCACCACTTGTTTTTTGTGGCCATAGGTCCCTTTCACTGGCCAGATTTTTTTTTTGGGGGGGGGGGGGGTTTCAAAGAAAACACAAATCAGTCTTGGCCATCTGAGATGTATGAATGAAATGAAATTGTTGACAGACACTCTGTTTTGGCCTGCTTCCCCCTCTAGTTTCTAGCTGTGGTTATCATATCCAGCAGAACATCTAAAGCAATGATTCTCAACTTGTGAGTCCCCAGGTGTTTTGGCCTAAATTCCCAGAAATCCCAGCCAGTTTATTCGCTGTTTGGATTTCTGGGAGTTGATGGCCAAAACATCTAAGGACCATAAGTTGAGAACCACTGATCTAAAGCAAGGTTCGTCCTGTACTTCTTGATGAACTTGTAATGATTTAGAGCCTTCCTCATTGACTGAGAAGGAAAACAAAGATGATCCCAATGGAAGGTTGATCTATAAAGTGCCTGGTTTTACAACAAAGAACAGTTCTCTTTGCTGACTTTGTTTGACCAATTGCCAGTGACCTGGGCAGCAATGATTCCGATGGATTGATAGAAAAGCTGCAGGAACTGAATGTCCAAGGAAATGTGGACTGATGATGGTGAAGGACATCATACCCAAGACTTTTTGAACCTTAGCAGTGCAGCTGATTCTACAGCACACGAAGGGAATGTGAATTTTTTTTTAATTTTAATCATGCTTTCACATTTCTATTTTTCTAAATCCATACATAACTTCCTAGAGAATTAGACACAAAAACAAAGTACTAAATGGGGAGGAACTCTTGCTACTGTTCCCTTAATTCTCCCAGCAGTCTTATGGCCCATGCCTAATTCCATTACCCTTAGCATAAAGCTAACTCTCTGTGGTCATATGTTTTTAAAAACCCAATCCTTCTTTCAACTAAATTCCTACTGGTTACTGTTCTGACGACACTGCTTTAATTTTCTTTTGAAAATTTTCTGGCAACTCCGCTACATTAAATGCTGTATTACAAGTACACTGGCTCACTGTGTGCGATAGAAGAAAACCGCCTAACACATTAAAATGATGGCTTCTCTACAAAGTAAGTTCCTTTTAAAATTAAAATAAAAAAGCAGCTCTATAGACTTTGTTTGAAATGAGCAAGAACCCACCACTTGAATGGGATGTTTTTCAGCATATAATTCGATGGAACTATTGGTTAGTGAGCCATAAATCTTTTTTAATGTTAATTTCATTAAGATGAAGGGTCCATACCAAAGCGACAAATTGGTTCCACCATAATCTCTGCATCTTGCAATTAAGCAGGGCAAGCATAAATCTATGTGCTGTAAACAGCGACTAGCAAAAACAACAACATTATTTTATTCAATGGGTGTTGATTTTTTGTGTGGATTTTTTTTATAAATAGAATACAACCCTTAAGTTAAACGTGGACCCATTCAAATCTTTTGCTCACTCAAGTAAAATCTGGAGCCATTATTACAGGAAAAGAAAAGAAAACACAAAACAAAACCTTTTTCAAAAATAAAGTACCAATGTTCTATTGCTATTTGTTACAATAGGTAATCATCATCCATAAGACCAGTGGATAGACATGTAATATGGTGAAGTTCTATATCAGTGGTTTCCGAACTTTGGTCCTTCAGATGTTTTAGACTTCCAGTCCCAGAATTTCTGATTGTTGGCCAAGTCAGCGACAGCTTCTGAGAACTGAAGTCCAAAACACCTTGACGACCAAAGTTTAGGGATTGCTTTTAAAGCAATCTTAAAATCTTAAAATCTAAGCAAACATTTGAAAGAAGACATAGAAAGTCTAACAAACATATGAAAAAATAAGTTCTGGTCAGGATTAAAAAATCTTGGTGTTAAGATTATGTATAATTCTACATTCCACTTCGCCCAAACTAGACTTCAAGCATGCCTTTGTCAAGGGTAGTTGCTATATGTACCCTTATCTGAAATGGACGGAAGTCAAGATGTTTTCATAATTTTATTCAAAATTCTTGAGGTAAGTATCCATTTCCATTAAGTTTGCTATAAATATAAGAAAAAGCCTCATTTGTACACATTTGTTAGGTTTGCAGGGTATTTCAGAAAAACAAAATAGTCACGAAGTATTAAATCCAATTGTTAATCCCAAGCAGAATCCTTTAATCAATATCTTAAATAATTTCCCCATTATTCAAGTTGGGAACATTGTGTTGGGAAACACAATGACAACAAACAGGTTTTCTAATTCTCTCTACTTCTGTATGTCCTGAAGAGTGAACAGCAGCTTTGTGAGATAGGCAATATAAACCGGGGATATGGTGAAGTGTGAGCAGTTAAACCCCACTGAATGACAATCTCAGGTAGCTGTTTTTGACAATGAAAATAAATGTGGGGAATTTTGAGGATAACTTCCTGGGTAAAATCTGACTGAGCCTTTAACTGCAGTCTTGGGGAAAGGGGAGTTCAGAAGTTGTCTCCAACAGACTGCAATTGCTTGCTGTCAAAAACGGTAAAGTCTGCATGGAAGCGTGCAAACATTTAAAGGTATTTCTGTCTCCCAATCACCATCTGCAATGAATTATGTTTTACTTCTCCACAACAGGATTGAGGCAAGAACATCAATTATAGATTGAAATGATAGTTCCATAAGAAATTGTCATTGGACATGAATGAAAGGTAAAGCCCAGTTTCTCCCAACCTCCAATCCTCAAAAAAGGGCAGAAATGAAAATTTCAACATGCAAACAAAGACAATGCTGGCTGACTTGACATTTATTATACAGAATGAAGGGAAGGATGTCTGGAACAGCTGAACTGTGTCCCAACAAAAACAACCACAAATGACTACAGAAGGGTAGGCAAACTGCAACCCATGGAGCCCATTTATGTGGCCCAAGAAGCCCTTTCAATATTTCCCCAACCTCCATGTTTAAATTTTATGCAAAGTGATTTTTAGAATATTTTTGTCCCCAAAGCATATAGAAAGCCCCCCAAATGTGTGAAAACCTACAGAACTCACCCACACAAAATACTGCAAGCATCCCAAAAACCTGTATCCTCTACAGTCCCTCTCATGTTACTTCCTGTTATCAATTTGAAAGTGATTACAACAGAAAACCGAGATACCTGGGCTTGTTATGAGGGTGCAGCTCATGAGGGTTATGCGGGGGGGGGGGGGGGGACTGATCTGCAGATTCAGGTATCATGTAGACAACCTCATATAAGAAGAAGTCCACATACCAATGTGGTGTACAGAGCTCAAATAACTACTTTTTGTCTTTATTTATTTAGAACTAACACATGCTTTTGCAAGACTGATGCTTATTTCCTATTTATGTGTGTGATAATTTCAGAAATAAAACTGCAGATTAAGTAACACACCCACTCAGTATCATTTGGCATCTTTGATATTTATAGGGAAAACACACCAAAGGTTATTAACTGCATAGAGCTTAAATGTGAAAAACAGCTCAGGCCCACATTTGTAACTTCAACAGGTTGTCCAATAGTTCTGTCAAATGATTAGCCATTTAACTATGGAAGTCAGAAGCCTGTAGCCTGAATGCTTCCTATGAATGGTTGATGCTCATGAATTGCTTCATCTTGCTTGTAAGTGTATGGTATTAGAAACATGGAGCTAAAGCAAACTTTGCAGGAGCAGACTTCCAGTCACAAATGGGATTTCCACTCTAATCCATACCTTCCCAAATCCACTATAGAGGAGATCACCTCCCAGAAGGTATGGGTGAATAGAAGAGGAGCTTCAGTGAAGATAGGCATTTGATTTGCCAGAAATACTGGCAGAGTGAAAAGCATACAACTGTATCTACGTATAGCCAATAGTATTTCGATCTATTCCAGTCATGTAAAGTGCTACAATATTTTGCTCACCAAAACAGGCAATGTTCCCATCCAGGCCTATGTACTTCAAGTCATAGAGGGCAGCTTCATTTTCAATAGGCTCATTTTCAGATTTGTCATCCATGGCAAATATCTCCTTTTGCCTGAACTCTGCATTGTCATCAAAGTTTATCTTGGCATCAAAGCACACAACTAAATAAAAAGGAAAAAAATCAACATGTTAACTGTTACTGGGGGGTCTGTTTCCAATCTGAAATTCATAATTTTGCAGCAGTATGTCAATATTGAGAGTACAGATTCCTGAAATCTCTGTAATCAATACAAGTCTTCTCACATCTACTGAATTATACAAAAGTAGGCCTAAGGCAACTCAGAAAAGCACACATGAAAACTCAATTTGCTGTAGGCCTAATAGTGTCTTTAACTAGGGGGGTATCAGACCTCAAAGAGCTGTACAAACCAAACACAGAAAATAGACCCTCAACAGAAAAAAAAATCATTCTGCTTCAACAAATGTTGTCAACATATCAGTGCAACTACATTCAACAGACTGTGTTCAATTATAACTATCTAACAGTCATTGCTTTCATTTCATTTACATGAATATAGTCCATAAGTGACTACTTTTATATATTCGACATGCATAATGTAGTAAAACTACCTTATTTTACAAAATTCAGAGGAAATTTATTTATGGCTAGGGATCTTGAAACAAGAAGTTGAATAAACAGACCATATTATCTTCTGGCAGAGTCCTGAAGGTAAAGGTAAAGGTTCCCCTTTGACATTAAGTTTAGTTGTGCCCGACTCTGGGGGGTGGTGCTCATCTCCATTTGTAAGCCGTAGACCCGGCATTGTCCGTAGATGCCTCCAAGGTCATGTGGTTGGCATGACTGCATGGAGTGCCATTACCTTTCTGCAGAAGTGGTACCTATTGCATGTTTTGAACTGATAGGCTGGCAGAAGCTGGGGCTAACAACAGGAGCTCACCCTGTCTGTGGATTCAAACTGCTGACCTGCCGATAAGTTTTGTAGCTTAGCGGTTTAAACTGCTGCGCCACCACGGACACCCAGAGTCTTGAAACAGAGATGCAAATATGTATGACCATCCATGTTTGCATACTTTGAGTCATGTGCAACCAACAACTGCACATAAAAATCCCTTGACTCAGGTTAAGTTCCTTGTCAACAACATACTTGTTGACCTTCTATCACTGTCAAAAATAGAAGATCACCCAGTGTATTGTTGTATAAAAATGAAAGCAGTTGATTGAAACTGCAACTTGTACTCGTATCAGTATCTTCTGCAAAACTCTGTAGTTATTACAACAAATTGTTTGGGAGAAGGACACTTTCCAGATAGAAGCCAGTGTGATGTAGTGGGTTGAGTGGTGGGCAAGGTCTTTAGAAGATCAGAATTAAAATGTCCACTTAACCACAGAAAATCACTGCGTGGCATAGGGCAAGTCATACTCAGCCACAGAGGAAGGCAATCATAACGCCGTTCTGAATTTTTTCCTCCAAGAAAGTCTTGTGATAGGCTTGGTTTAGTATTTCTATAAGTCAGAAACAACTTGAAGGCACACAACATAAGCTTTGCAGATGTTTCTGGCTAAAGCTTCCATCACCATTGGCCACTAACCATGCTAGCTGCAGTTTATGACTGGTGGAGATTATAGCCTGGGCACTCAGGAACTAGAAACTTGAATTATCCCATATGCAGTTAGTATTAGAAAATAAGGCAAAATGTGAATATTCATATATGCTATTTCCTTCTTCCTCATGCAGTTACTAGTGTTGAAAATCTACCTCAAATCCCATAGGAATGTTTTTTTGGCGGAGAGGGAGATGAAGCTATTCCTACTCTAAAGCAACCTTTATAAATATTGATCATTAATCATATCTCCCATAACTCAGTTGAATTTCAGTAGTGTACATAATAGTAATAAAACAATACATACTTGATTGTGGCTATAATTCAGTCTCTAAATTATAGTCATGCATTATTGTAAATGAATTATATTTATGTATTTTGTCTCCCTTTTTAAAAAGTTTCTTTATTATACTTTATTTCAGTGTCCAAAGGAATAGATCCTTAAGGCAAAAGTAAATACATCTTGACTGTACAACCAAAGGTCTGTGGCTTGAAAGAGAATACTTAAGTAACCAAAGATGATACTCTGAAGCCTCAAAGATTCTACACATTTGCAGGTCAAGCCTTTTGATTTAACTATTCGTGGATTATTTGTTGCTGACACAAACGATTTTTAATAGAATATTTGAAAACATATGTGTCCAGATTAAGCTGTGTACATTTAAGTCAGGATTACTTACTAAGGCGATCCCTTGTTGTCTGAGCAAGATTGTCCCCCAACTGTGGTGTCCTGGCGGTGGGTACGTATGTGACTGTGGAGCCCTATTCTTGACCTGCATGTTCTCCAGCAGTGAGGGCATCGGTTTCCAGATGGAAGGCGGTCCTGGTCGGGGTTGGCTTGATGCGCCTTCCTCTCTTTCACCCTCCATTCATGCCTCTTTAAATTCTACAGCACTCTGGTCACAGCTGACCTCCAACTAGAACACTCAAGGGCCAGGGCTTCCCAGTTCTCGGTGTGGATGTCACAGTTTTTAAGGTTGGCTTTGAGCTCATCTTTAAATCTCTTTTCCTGTCTTCCAATAATCCGTTTACCATTCTTGAGTTCGAAGTAGAGTATCTGCTTTGGGAGACGGTGATTGGACATACAGACAATGTGGCCGGTCCAGTGGAGTTGAGGGTAGAGGACCATCGCTTCAATGCTGGTGGTCTTTGCTTCTTCCAGCATGCTGACATTTGTCTGCTTGTCTTCCTAAGTGATTTGCAGGATTTTTCAGAGGCAACGCTGATGGAATCGTTCCAGGAGTTGCATGTGACGTCTGTAGACAGTCCATGTTTCACAGACATATAGCAGGGTTGGGAGGATAATAGCTTTGTAAACAAGCACTTTGTTATCCCTACAGATGTCCCGGTTCTCAAACACTTGCTTCATTCAGAAAAATGCCTCACTCGGTGTTGTATTTCAGTGTCAATGGCGACCTTTGTGGAGTGGCAGCTGCACACTGTTTTCCCTTTTTTGAAGAGGGTGATGATAGTGGCATCCTTGAAATCTGCTGGGATTTTCTTGGTCACCCACACTTTTTCTATCCCTGGTTTGTTATTGCAGGATTTGTGAAAGAACCTCGTCAACCACATTGGCGCTGCAATTCAGGAGGCTTTGGTAGTGTTCTTTCCAATGTAGTGCAATTGAATTTTTGTCTTCAGAAGTTTGGTTCCATCTGATGAACGTTGAGGGTGTATGCCATGGTTTCTTGGTCCATAGACGACTTTTGTGGCTTTGAAAAATCCCTGAGCAGATTAAGCCGTGTACATTTAAGTCAGGATTAGTCATTTGGTCAACAACTCCTTGATTAGTCAACAACTCCTTGGTTGTTGGGAGGAAATCACACTGGTGGAGTGGCTGATTCCTTCCTTCATCTTACATGTGTGAGTGGATAAAGTGGAAGAGGATGGGATGGGGCACAAAGATGGATGAAATGTGTGTATGTGTGTTCCCTCTAACACGTGCTTGCTTAAGTGGGCAGGGGAAGTGAATGGGAAATTGTGAGCATGGGGAGGGAAGGCACATGTGTGTGCTCCTCACTTGCTCAGGTGGGATGAGATGGGAGAGTGAAAGGAGGGCAAGTACACAAGTGGACTCCCTTACTTGCTCACCCAGAGGGTATCTGATGGGTACCTTTTTTCAGCCTACAGCTGAAAAATTCACTCAATAACTCAAGGGTTCTACCTACACAGGCCTCATACCAATAGTTATAAAGGCAATATTATTCAAGGTAAACAATGCTTTGTAGCAAGGAACACACAATTTTACATTGTAGGAGATACGGGAGATTTTGGTGTGTTGTGTGGTTTCCAGGCTCTATGGCCATGTTCTAGCATCATTTTCTCCTGATGTTTTGCCTGCATCTGTGGCTGGCATCTTCAACAGAAAGGAGGGAACCATGAAAATTAACAAAATCTGGTTACCAATATTAAAAAAAAAAACACACCAGAATTAAGATAGTAAATAAAGAACACCACTCAGAAACAGGAGAAGTCTAGAGAGCAAACAATCAAGTGCCAAGATGCCCCCAGGCAACAACAGCCAGACTTTGCAGCTGCAAGGCTAATCAATGCTAATCAAACTGGTTAATTTCAACATTTGCCCTTGCTTCAAACAGACAAGAGCTCCTTTTCCCACCCTGGACATTCCATATATATATATAGACACCCCACTTCCTTGTTTCCAACAGACCTCTGAGCAAACCTCTGAGGATGCCAGCCATAGATGCAGGCGAAACGTCGGGACAGAATGCTACTGAAACATGGCCATACAGCCCGAAAATTTCACAGCAACCCAATTTTACATTTGTTGTCAAAGGGTACCAATCAGCTCAGCACAAGCCCTGAACCCTTTGCCTTAACTGAGTGTCCAGGTGAAAGGCTAATGCATCAAAGCTCTTTATTGATTTGGCCAAAACAAGACTTGCCCACTTTACAGCAGGGCAAAAAGCAAAAGCTTACTCGTGCCCTCTTCTCCCTTTACTTTCTCAAACTTCTTCCAGCCTGCATCTTCTTATTCAGTCACTCTATCCTTGCAATGCATTCTTTGTTTTGATATTTTGGTACACTGGGGAGGACCAAATCTGCAGTGCCAGTTAAAGTTGATCTAAAGCCAAAGGAGGCCCAGCAGGGATAGTACAAAATAGTACCTTTCTCCCACAGCAGATCCTGCTGTCAACCCACACAATCTCTGAATTGTCTTATCCCAAAACAATTTCACAAGTATCTTCGTACATCACTCCATCCCACTTCCTGTTTTGGCACACAAATAATTGTAACTGCAAAACAGCATTATAACTTAAACTCCTGCTTTTTGGGCAGATTTACCCATCCTCTAGCTGGTTACAATATTGTGTCATCTTTTCTTGTCAATGCATTAATTTCTCCTGGTGGCGCAGTGGGTTAAACCCTTGTGCTGGCAGGACTGAAGACCGACAGGTCGGAGGTTCGAATCCAGGGAGAGCGCGGATGACCTCACTCTGTCAGCTCCACTCCCATGCGGGGACATGTGAGAAGCATCCCACAAGGATGGTAAAACCACAAAACATCCCGGCATCCCCTGAGCAACGTCCTTGCAGATGGCTATTCTCTCACACCAGAAGCGACTTGCAGTTTCTCAAAAAAATGCATTAATGTCAGGATATCACATTGAGCCCCTACACTTATGATCTGATTTAGGAATCCTCATTTTCTGATAGAGGAATAGAAATAATTTTATCGTTTTCTTTTGTACATACCCTGTCCTTCTGGAGTCTCGCCGAAGGGATTCACTTCTACTTGAGTGGCATCAATTTTCAAGAAAAGATTGTACAGCTTCTTAATTTGATCTGCAGCCTAAAGTTGAAAATGTAGTGCGTAATTACACAAAAGGAAATCAAGGGGAATGACACAGTGAGAGAGGAAGATAATTATCCTAAATTAAAACATTACAGATGCTTATATTTTCTGCATTACTGTTGACAGCAACTATGAGGGGTTAAATGGTTAACATTCTCTTATCAGATGGAAGTACCTTAGATTATTTTTAAATTGGTAGCCTATCTCTCAGCCAAACGAATATTGACTACTGCTTCCAAACAATCAGACCCTGCATAAATGCCCACTCTTTGCACTGTACAGAAAAAAGCTTTGCAATAAGAAAGTGCACCATCATTAATTCAAACAAATTTAATTTAAGCACAATGAACCAAGTTTGAGAGTTCATAATGAATACATTATGCTGATATTGAAGTTAAAGTGATTACCTTAATGAGACTAAATTCAGAAACTGTGAAGCAATATGCAGCTGACAAATGCAGATTACTTGCTGAATTCGTTTGGAATATACATAAACCCGCCCTACCTACATAAAAATGTGACTTTCACTGCAGAAACAACAGTTGAAAAATTGGGTTATTTGTTCTCGCAACTTGGCTCTTATTTGTTTTGCTTTAAGTTTCAATGATCCATGACCAAAATTAATTTTTCCTTAGTAACTAATGTACTGATTTGTTTTTTTAAGCAAAAAGGGAAGGTCAGTTCTTACTTATTTAAGAGATTTATAGTCAGTTTATGATTGGGTGGGAATACATCAGAAAACAAATTAAAACTGTTTAATATATAAAATACACAAATTCTAAAAACAATAAATATTCAGTGCATAAATCATTAAAGTTAAACATAAGACGGGAAGAGCAGCACTTATGATCAAAACTTAACTACAAGCAGACTAGACAAAACCAGACAAAAATCAGACTGGAAAAAATGAGAATTATTTATATTAATCCCAAAGCCAAGTGTAGTGGAATCATTTTTAACTTGGCCCAGGAAAGTGGCAAACCACGATTCAGCCATAGAAATCCACTGGGTGACCTTGAACAACTTATACTTTCTCAGTCTTATAGAAATGCCATAGCAAACCCCACTTGAAGCAAATGTTGCCTAGAAAACCCTGCAACAAGTTTGCTTTAGGGTCACCATAATCAGAAACAATTCAAAGGCAAACATCATGGCTCAATACTATGAAATCATGGGAGCTGTGGTTTTACACAGTCTTTAGCATTCCCTGCCAAAGAGTGATTGCGGCCTGCCAATTACGAAGCCTAGGATTCCATAGCATAGAACTGTAGCTGTTTAAGTAGTTTCAAACTGCATCAGTTCTACAGTGCAGATCAAGAATGGGCAAACTAAGCCCCATGGAATAGATATGACCCTCTGGGCACTTACATCAGACCTTCCTAATTCTCCCCTTTCTTTGGGCATAAGGATGTGGTGACTTTATGCTAAAAGGACCAAAGGAACATTGCTGCTGGGAGTCCTCTGGAGTGCTGTTAGGGCCCTCTTCCTGACATAAAGATGGGACAAGTGACTCTGTCCTGATGCTGAGAGAAGCACAGCCCAGGGGAGGAGGCAGGCGACAGCTGAGTGGGTTATTTAGCCCTTTCGACTGCTGCCTGCCTCATCCTTCTCCCGGATGCGAGAACGGAGCGAGGCTCTGCCCTGATGCAGAGAAAATCACAGCCCAAGGGAGGAGGCAGGTGATTGCCAAGGTGGCTTTGGTCCTTATCCCCCTCTTCCAGGCACAAGGACAGGGCATGCAGCACCGTCTTTATTTATTTATTTTGCCCTATTTATACCCCGCCTTTCTCTATCCCAAAGGGTACTGAAGGTGGCTTACTTATAGATTATTCAATGCCTTAAAACACATACAATTCCAGCAACATCAACATTAAAATTAAATTAAAATTAATACATGTTAAGCATTTAAAGCAATGAAAAACATTACATTCAATAGAAATCATGCCATTCATAATCGTAGTCCAAAGGCATCCCATAGTCATTGCACATATTCCAAATCTGTTATGTCACTGAATTATTCAACAAAAGCCTGATCCCAAAGCCAATTTTTTTTACTTTCATTCTGAAGGCTAGGAGGGAGAGGGCTGATCTAATGTCGTTGGGGAGGAAGTTTCATAGCTGAGGGGCCACCACTGAGGCCCTGTCCCTTGTCCCCACCAGATGTGTTTGTGAGGAAGGTGGGACTGAGAGCAGGACCTCCCCAGTCAATCTTAATCTCGGAGGTGATTCATAGGGGAAGAGGACAGCCCCAGGAAGCCAGGCAGTGGCAGAGATGACTCTGCAGCGTTCTCAATCGCCGCTTGTCTTGCCTTTGTCTTGGCAAATGAATGGGGCAAGCAGTCCCATCCTTATACTGAAAGGCCAGCCTGAGGATAACCCCCCCCCCCCCCCCCCCCCCCCCCCCGGCCCTACCCCTCCTGGCCCAACCGCACCCCTCAAGCCCAGCGCTCCCCCTCCAGACTCCACCCCACCCCTCCCAGGTCCATGCCACCCTCCCTCCTGTCTTGACCACAGGGCAAAAAAGTTTGTCCATGCCTAGTGTAGATGCACCTATGGAGTCACAAAGCTTAGCAGATTCCTCCTTCCACTTCCCCAACACTTCTCCAACATTCCAGTCCTCTCTGAAATAAATTTCATCAGATGGGTTTATCACCATCTCTCCAATTAAACTCACAAGGTAATTATGAGGACATTGGGAGTGTTCAGGTAGGCCTATCCAGTCAATTTTAAACTAAGAATGTTTAGTATTGGTGCTAATTTCAGTTCTGTATATTTCAATATATGTATTTTAGACATTAGTAAAAATGAAGTAATGGACGGGCTAAAATCTTTGAGGCAAATACAGGTCTCTGAAAGAATCAGCTGAACCACATACTGGGCAATACTTGAATAAGTGATATCATTGTGTGAAAGTAAAATGACAGTCTTAGGACTTATCTACACTGATCACTGAGATCAGTGCGAAACCAGCATAGAAAAAAGAGGCTTTTGCATGCGGATGACTTTATTACAAGCCTTGAAACTGGTTCAAGGTTCGAATGGTGTTTATATGTGCTACAGATGTTGGCCTCAAACCAGTTCCAGAACCCACTGTAAGCAGTTTTTTCCCCCAGGCCTCTCACCAGATGCACATGTATGGATCAGGAAAGAACTCTGGGTGTCCAAATAGCTATCAGCATTATGCAGAGTTGATTTCATCATGTGATGTGGATTATGGGGTACTAGAGCAGACGTGGGCAAACTTTGGCCCTCCAGAAGCCCTCCGGTTGTTAGGAATTGTGGGAATTGAAGTACAAAACACCTGGAGGGCTGAAGTTTGCCCATACCTGTATTAGAGCATGCTGCTGTAAATTAATAATTGTTTTTCAGAGTATTCTCTGACTTTGTTATCCCAGTTTTAAAGTGTGCTGCATTGCATGCTTTTAGTTTGCATTGTCTAACCACTACACTGTCAATCTGCTTTCAATCCACATTAAATGGTCAGTGTAGATAAGCCCTATGTCGGCCTTTTGGTATAGGGGTTGGAGAAAAGAGACAAGGTTAATAGACTGATTGCAGACCTTGAAAATGTGCTTTTATGGACTTCCAACTCTCAGACTTTCCCTGCCAACAGGAGAGTGAAGTCCAAGGAAGCAGGCTCTGTGAGGTATCAGCTGCTAACATCAGCCCTTTTTAAACAACAGATGTTATTTATATCCACTACAGATGGGTCTGATAGTTCCCACTGACATAAGAAATTGTATGGATTTAGAAATGCACGTGGAACAGTAAGAAAAGCCCTTTAGCAATGGATCTAATTCTAATCTGAATTAGCAATTTGAGGTAAGTAGCAGGACAAAAATCAATGCTGGATATTTGAATGAACAAACATTTCTTCGTCATGCATGGCATCAAATCAAGTTGTTTCTATGGAGCAAGTTTAAAATACAATTCTCCCCATTAATATTGGAAACACGTTCAATAACATAAATATAACTTTAGAGAAAAATCTCACAAACAACTAAGAAGTCACCAAGCAGGACTCAATCAATCACATGGTATGTGAGCCGTTAGATTTACATTGTTTTACTAAGAGATTCTTTCTGGAACCTACCAATTGAAGAATATAAATGATTATGACAAGACTACATTAAACAGACGTTTGATTACACTGATGTAGCCATTATGGTTCGATGCTCCAGTAAATCACATTGCAAAGTCAAACAGCACATGGGAAGAAATGTCTTAGCTGTTGTTTAGTTAAGCAGTTCATGCATTGTGCTAATAATTAAGTATTAGGACATGCAAAGCTAGAAAGATTTAATAATAATTCTCTCTCATTAAAGAAACTGCTAAATCTTCAAATGGATGTTAATCATCTTAATGATTATGCATTTGTTAATTGCACAGTTGGGATGGAAATTAATTAGAAGTGGTATATTAAAAATTCAAAGGTTTTACAAAAGTGGCATTTTGATGATATGGGGAAATCTGGACAAAAACAATTTATCATCTCTCCTTCCCAGAGCAATAAAAGTAGAAACTAGTTGCAAAATGAATCTGTGCAGACTTGATGGTTTGTAATTTCTTGTCCTAGCTCAAAACTCTGAGGACAAATCTGAGAAGAACAAAATGTATATATCAAGACTGTGGGAGCTTTAAAAACACAATCAGAACTGGAAACCTTTGCTTTTCTTTAAAAATAATTTCAAAAATAGGAAAAATGAAGAACAAAGTTACATTAAGTTAGTAGTGCATTTAATAACTATTCAATTTATTCAAGAGCTATTAGCTATTGCAGTTTTAAAACCTGCAACAACACAATACTACAGTGGCTGCAATAAAATGGTAATCAACGGGCATTTTAATGTAGAGTTCAGCATCTAAGTAATAGGTGAGAGGGATGCATTTACACTGTAGAATTAATGCTGTTTGTCACTGTTTTAGCTGCCATGGCTCAATACTATGGGATCAACAGATTTATAGTTTAGTGAGGCACTAACATTGTTTGGCAGAGAAGGCTAAAGATCTTGTAAAACTACAACTCGCATGATTCCATAGCACAGGCCCTGATAGTTAAGTGTTTTATAGTGAATTAATTCTACAGAGTAGACATAGCCGAAACTGTCCTTTCCCCCTAGACCACTGCCCCTTTAACTACACAGGGAGAAGGAGGTCGTTTGGTTTCTTGGTTGTAGATTAGGAAAAATTCTCAAATAGGCTTTTGGAAAGACAAGCAAGTGTAAGATGCTTACAGAAACATTAGAAAATATATAAGCTTTGCCCTACCACATCCAGAAGATCGAAGAATTATGTCTTGATATGAAATTTCTGGTATTGTGTGTCATACTTCTAGGAAGGCTCCTGAAATGGGAGGGGGAACTGAGGAGTTGAGGCCTTCAATTATATATTCAGTCCCCCAGGTTCAGGAATCTATATGTAGTTGAGCCAGATATATTCTGGTTTATAATCATCTTTGCATTTGCCTAATATGCTCTTTTATATTGTCATGTTTTTCCTTTTTATATCAATGTTATGCTTTCGCATTTTTGTATTTCATTTTTATTGTGTCCCTGTCTTGATAAAATAGAATAAATTCACTGTCATTGTACATTAAAATTAATTGCTTTCTCAAACATACAGCACAAAACAACACACCCACCCCTTCACACTCCAACCACCACTGCAGAGCATAGCAATCTAATTAATTGCTTTAGTTGGTGACATTATTGGTACAGACTGAATATCCTTTATCTGAAATGTTCTAGAGCAGTGGTTCCCAGGCTTGGGGCTGGGGACCCCTGTAGGGCCAAAATGACATCACAGGGGGTCCGTGAAATATTTAAGAAATATTATGATTTTTTTGCTGTTTAATCTGAGTGACTACTCCAAAAATGGGCAATTTGAAAGAAAAGTTGTTGTTGTTGTTGTTGTTGTTGTTATAGTGGTTATTATTATTAGTACCAGTCATAGTAGGTCATGATTATTGTTATAGGTATTGATATTACTGTTGCTCTTATTATAGTTATTGATATTACTGTTGCCATTACTATTGTCTATTAATGCTATTACTTTTCTGCTATCGCTACTACTATTATTAAATTATTAACTATTATTTTTAATTTATATGGAATCATAACAAATAAAATATAATAGGAGTATGTGCATTAACAGATTAACTTATATCCCCTTCTCTCTTAATTTGAAGGCCCTACATTAGAAAATTGAAATAATTATTTGACATAGTCTCGTGCCTTAAATCTTGAGTTAAGTCTTGAGGATCCGCAGCCACCAAAGGTATTTAAAAGAGGGTCTGTGGTGAAGAAAAGATTGAGAAACACTGCCTAGCTTTTTAAACTGGATCATGACCCCATTTGGAGTTCCCTAACTGAATTTGCTACTTTGCCACCTAGTGGCTGTTTATATGAATCAGGTGGCAACTACATGCAGCAAATGATTCAGCTATACTCATAAGAAAGGAAAACGTGCCCACCTCATTTTAGAAGCCTTGAAAATGCTGATTTTGTTGTTGGCTATTTTGTATATCTATACACCCAGGGCTGTGTAAAAAGATCTTTGGTGAAAAGGAGTCAATCGTGGAAAAAGTTTAAGAAACCCTGCTCAGGACCAGAAGTGTTCCATGTTTTGATTTTTTTCTGATGTTGAGATACTTGTATGTACACAAAGAGATATCTCAGAGGTGGGACTCAAGACTAAATATACACATTATGTACATACCCTGAAGGTAAATCTACACACAGTATTTTTAAATAATTTTGTGCATGAAACAAAATTTGCCTACATTGAGCTACCAGAAAGGAAAGGCATCAGTTACCCATGCAAACAATTTTGGATTTGGGAGTATCTGGGGTTTTGAAATTCTGGATAAAGAATGCTCAACCTGTATTCACTGTGTACTGCGCTTTACTGTTTTGTAAAAAGAAATATACAAGTTTTCAAAAGTTGTAATGAACTGCCTGTCAGTATTTGCCCCAACCAATATTTTAAGAATTGGTCTGAGGTCCCTGATTTCCCGCATTGATATTCTAGGTTAGAGGCATGAAGATGCTTTGACACCGCTCTGGTGTGCAGTACAATGTTCCTTAGAAAACCTGAACACCAGCATGTCTTATTCTGTGAAAATTACCTGCTGTTGTAGAGGACCCTTGAATCCTAAATTTTCTGCCAACCGTAGAGCTTGTGTATCTTTTACACCTTGGAAAATATCTATTTCTTCCTGTTACAAAAAAACAAAAATAACAAAATGAGCACTAAGATAGCCAGTGCTAAAACAGATTTATAACTTTAAGAAGGAAAATGCAAGAAAAACAGAACAGAGACAAGGGAGGCTCAATATATATTTGCAAATTAGTAATTAAAATAGGGCAAGTTGCCCAAATGCTGAGACTGAGGCTATAGCCTCTGCCTATAGGGTATGTTATAATTACTACGCTATCCATGCTAAAAAGAGTCCCTCCAAAACTATGTAATTCTTCAGGGTGGCATGCTGACAAGACAATCTGACACCAGTTTTCACTTTTAATTACTGTACAGATGGCGTTGATGAATACTTAGTCTGTTAATTTTTATGACTCGATTTGGCAAGGAGCCGAACCAATGGTGCCCATACATCTCCCAACAAGTGTATGTTTCGAATGTATATGTAAGTAGAAAGATACGCTCACTCTCATACTGTAAATACAGTAGCTATTATTAGATGGCATAACACAGTAGATTGTTTATCAGTATTGTAACAAAACCGTACATTGAAAAAGCAATATTTCGTTTACAGTAAGTAAATCTTTTTCGTATTGTTCAAGAAGTGGGGCATTTTTATGAGCTGGGAAAGAAATGAATAATTCACAGTCCCAGGGAATCAGGTGTTACTGCTTATTCCGGACTATACCACGTCAGACAGAAGGTAGAAGACTTCACATTTCAGTGTTCTCATCTTTTTACATAGAAATTAAGATTAATAGTCTGTCAGATTTCTTGATGTGTTTTGGAATGTCAACATCCCATGTTCTATTTACATCCTAGCGTTTATGAAAAGCTTTGTCACCTGATTCTGTTAATTATACCACCATATAAGTCAGCTTTTGGGGCCAAAATTATGGATTTTGCTATGACCCATGGATAAGTCAAAAATCATTCTGCAGAGAGCAAAAAGCACCAGCACTCCATCAGGGGTCATGTGGCTCCTGTTCACCTCTGCCGGCCAGGCATTCAAAAAGGCCAAAAGTGGTGGTGCAATAGAGAAACTCAAAGGGTTTGATGGTTCTTTCAGGTTCTCCAGGGCCAAGCGAAATGCATGCTTTTAGCTACTCAGGGGTGGTTCCTTTATTGATCAAAGTTGAACTACAGTACTCATTCTGACCAATGCATAAATTGACCCAGTTTTTTGGAGTTGATCTTTTGACTAAAATTTCTAGAGTGTATAGGGTAATTAGTTGCCCTGAGTCAACCCCCCTGGGGGGGGGGTGAGAAGGGCGGGGTAGAAAAATTTGAAATAAATAAATAAATAGCTCTAACGTGTTAAAAGAAAGGTGCTTCCATCCTATGGCTACTTACCTGGGAGTAAATTCACTAAACATAACTGCAATATATTGACAAAGGCTTTCATGGCCAGAATCACTGGGTTGTTTTGAGTTTTCTGGCTGTATGGCTATGTTCTGGAAGAATTATCTCCTGACATTTCGCCCGCATCTATGGCAGGCGTCCTCAGAGGCTGTGTGATCTGTTGGAAACTAGGAAAATGGGGCTCATATATCTGCGGAATGTTCAAGGTGGGAGAAAAAACTCTTGTCTGGTGAAATGTCAGGAGAGAATGCTTCTGGGACATGGCCATACAGCCTGGAAAGCTCACAACAACCCAAATACAGTACACTTGCTTATGAGAGTAATATTTAGAATAGCTTGTGTAGATGTTAGAAGGAAGCCACCTCCCTTTATACAATCAAAGAATCCATAGAGTTGGAAGAGACCACAAGGGCCATCCCGTCTCCTTCTGCCATGCAGGAATAACTAATCAAATGAAGGCCAGCACAGAGCTTGGACAAGTTACTCTGTTTAGGTGTACAACCATCAGAGTTTCTGGTAAGTTTTTAGGGGAACTAAAAACAAACTGCCAAGCTCTGAAAAGGAATACATTTTGTTTTAAACCTTCTATCCAAATTTTGAGTTTTACCTTGAAGATGAGCTCTGGGCTTGTAGCTGCCACTTCTTCTATGTCAACCCCACCTGCCGGACTGCCAACCAGAACAGGTCCATTGCAAGCTCGATCCATTAATATTGCAAAATAGGTTTCTCTGGAAATATTTAGTGCCTCTGCCACCATAACCTGCAAAGGTACCATTTAGTAATGTATTATTCACACTATCCAATGGAGACAGTATTTTATTGGCTATGTTGGAATTATACAGGCTCCTAAACTAGGAAGTGACAGTTATTCAGCGAGAACACATTGCACTGTAATAAATAGAGTTTAACTCACTCTTCAGTCCTTCTCTGATTCCTTTCATCGTGAAAGAAATCAATGACTTCATTTGGACACGAGTATCACATAGTTCTTTTCCATTTCATTATTCTTAAAAGCATGGAAATGGACCATAAGGCAGAAAGGAGTGTGGCAAGAAACATCTACAAACTAAAGATCCACAGATTCACAAGTGAAACAGCCACAGATTCAGCAATATTACACCTACCTTGATCCTTTAAGAAATGTTTTCAACAAAAGGAATAAAAATAAAAAAGAAATTAAAAGCCAGGTTTGACTTTTTCTGCAATTGATAAAAAATGGAGGAAAAGGATATTACTGCATTATGTTAATATCTTTTTATTGTTCTGAAGATGGGTCACCTGTGTGAGACAGGTTGGGTTGAGCAGCTTAGGTGCTTACAAAGAAACATGACACAATTCCTGCTCCACTCCAATAAAAGCTTGTATCACCTGCTACTTCTAATACTACTTTTAATGCAAGTCACCTCGAAAAGCTGCACAAATCAATCATTCCAGTAGCACATTATGCATCTGTATAATGGCATGACAGTGAAATGAGTCTCATCAAATGCCATAGACAGAACAACCACAGTAATTCGGAATAAGATGACAACGGAAAACTAGCATGAACAATGGGGTAAATCCAGTGCTTCAGTAGCGGAACTTTTGTAATGTTCTCTTCCCTTCCCATCTCTTATTCTTTGTGTCACCCAAATGCTACCTCAAGAGGACTTCTTGCTGTAAAGAGTTGATTCTGGAAATGCTGTACCTGGAGGGGGGTGTCCCGTGGGACACTGGAAACTCCTGTTCTGCCATTAGTGATCCATCATTGAATGGATAACTGCATTAGATGGACCCACCAGAAATTCCATTGTCATCTACACTTTGTTCTTTCAGCCTTTAGAGGAAAATCACGAGTTTTGTTGTTGTTGTTGTTAGTTGTTGGATTTTGCGGCTTTTAGTAAAAATATTTGATTGTAGTTAAACTTGTTTGGTTATTTATATGCAGGCATTCTTTCAGAAAGGGACGCAAGATGGCTTTCTTCCAAAACAATTAAAATTTTGAATTTTTCTGTGTTTTTGATATAAATAATTTCTGATTATAACTGTACTTTCTTTTTAAAACAGCTCAAAACTGCTAATAGAAAAGTAGAGTATAGATCTAATAAATAACATAAAAAAGGAAATGGAGGAGTGGTCAAATCCCAGGCCTAAATCTAACTGCTAGATCCAAACAGATTTACTTTACAAACAGTTATTGAATGGCAAATGTCTTCAAGGCACACAACAACAAAATCAGCACTTATAGAAATAACATTCATTCAATGGGTTTATTCTAGTCAGTACTTACTACCATGTTTAGACTCCTATACTAATTTTTTGTTGAGTTAAGTTGGCTTTAGTCATAGCTTCACTGTAGGTGTCAATTATATCTTTAAAGGCAACTGGGCCCCCCAAGTGGCACAGTGGATTAAACGGCTGAGCTGCTGAAATTGGCGGTTTAAATCCGGGGAGCAGGGTGAGCTTCTGCTGTTAGCCCCTGTCAAGCTAGCAGTTTAAAAAACATGTGAATATGAGTAGATCAATAGGTACCACCTCAATGGGAAGGTAAACAGTGCTCCATGCAGTCATGCCAGCCACATAACCTTGGAGGAGGCTAGGGACAATGCCAGATCTTCGGCTTAGAAATGGAGATGAGCACAACCCCAGGGTCGGGCACAACTAGATTTAATGTCAAGGGGAAACCTTTACCTTTACTTTTTAAAGGCAACTATATTTCCCAATTAGAATAACTTCTTGACTAAACCCATAAGTGCAACAAATTCAATAAGTCTACTCTTTTTGGGACAAACCAGTGATTTAGGGCCCTAATATCTCCCTTATCCTTTAATCCTTAAAATCTTTTCTATTGACATGAGACGGCTTTCCATAATCCATCTTTTTATTAGCTGATGAGTATATCTACAAAATATGTATTTTGTATTCCAACTGGCTCATTGGGAAATATCACACTGTTACTTAATAATGCTGAACTTGCTTTTAATGGATAAAAGAAGAGGCCACTTTTCTTTGGGAGGAAGTACTGAATATTGGCACTGCTCTTTGAACACCAAATGGAGTTTTCAGCAAAGCTTTCTGGGCTTTGACCCAATCCTGCTATTTTGTGTGCATCTTGTTCTTTCCATCTAGACTTCTTTCCTCTTTGCTTGCTTCCTTCCTTCCTTTAAAAAAGCATCCAAAACCAATCCAACGCTCTTTTAAAAACTGGACTTCAAATCTGAACAAATTGTATCAATGGCAGGCACTGTATTATGAATGGAATTCTGATTTCTTCTAATTTAGTTCTTCTGAAACTCACTGGTGAATTCCAAAGACCTTTTGTTCCTCTAGCAAAACAGATCTTATTTCAATCATGCATTGTACAGACTACTGCTTATATTTATTTTTCCTTGCAGTTTTCTCTACTGTATTGGATATTTATGTCTATCTACGATCATACATCTTTTTTGTTTGGGCTGATTCCTTACATAATTTTGTCTATATCACTATCTCTGGATGTGCCAGGTGAAGTCAAGAGCTAACAAAATATGTATTCAGGAGTTATAAATATTCAGGTGACAACCTACATGGAGAAAGGAGTGACTATCTTTTTTATTATTTCTTTTTATGTTAAATATGAAAAAGTCACAGTTATGCATTATGGTGTTTTATAGGTTAAACCTAAGATGAAAGGTCCCTGCTTCGGTCTGCTTCCATTGTAGATATTTTCCCCCTATTATACTTTGTGTTTAAGGTGATTTCCAAAGTATTCAGTTGTGCTGGATCATGGATGGATCATCCAGCATTCAATTACACCTTCATCTACAGTATAGGGTCTATAGGTCTTCACCCATACTATAGTAATGGTTTGTCCAAAGCTTCTCTTCCCTGCTGCTGTACTGTGATGATAACTCACTCCCAACATATGGAGACCCAGACATATGCAATATAGAGATGTAACATAGTGTGGACTGTTCAGTATTTGAGTGCCGAATTCTGCAAAACTGCATGCAGGTAAAAGAAGAAGCGCTGCTTTCAAATTCAAGCAATTCTCAATTTCATATCCATCTCTGTTTGAATACACTTATGTATATAAACCCTAATTTGAGAAATCAAATTGTAGGCAACTGTCTAGAACATAAAAACACAAGCAAAAAGGAAAGAGGGAAATAGAAACCTTTTTTATGAAGAATGAGGAACTACTTTCAAAAGTCAAATTGAAAAGTACAATTTAACCCCTCAAGAACTGTGTCTTACGCTAAAAACTCCCAAAGTATGGAGATGAGGGAAGAACACCACTTTCCTGGCTGTTTTACAGTAATCTGAGATGTATTCTTGATTGATAGTGGACACATCGAGACCCCAAAAGGGGGGGGGGGAATCACATGGTGAGATAAATAATATCAAGATTATTACATTATTTTCCATACAACCTAACAAAGTTAACACTGCTAATTCTCCTTGGAAAAGAAAATAAAGGGGGGGGGGTGCTCATGCTTAGTAAGAAAACTTTAGCATCTTCATCCTTTATTAAACATGTTAGCTTGGAATCATAGAATCATAGCGTTGGAAGAGACCTCATGGGCCATCCAGTCCAACCCTCTGCCAAGAAGCAGGAAAATTACATTCAAAGCATGCCCAACAGATGGCCATCCAAGCCTTTGTTTAAAAGATCAAACAAGGATTCCCTCTTCAAAATACAGCTAAGTTCCTTAGTTCAGGAATAATGTACATACAAATGGCTGTCATATATCTCAAGAACTTCTCTTGGGAACCTCACAAACTATTAAGTGCAAATCGTTTTTCAGAAGTTCCAGAAGATGAAACTGTTGACTGGCCTTTGCAAGGATATGAATGCTCTTCACCTAGATTTGTAACGTTGTCCCAAGTCATCCAAAATGAACAGGGCATAGCAGTCTAAAGAAATTTATGGAATCCTACATTCACCAACTCATTATTACTAAAAGATGCTACAGAATTTTTCACTGATTTATCATTACATGGTTGGTCATTTTTTTTAATCATTCAGGTCTTCAACTGAAACTTTACTCAAGTTAATTCTCTTACTGCTTAGAGAAAAGGGACAGGTAATAGGTTTGCGATACACAGAAACTGTCTCTGCAGATAACCAAGTTCTCCAAATGCCAAGATGCCCAAGAGGATTTTATGTAAACCTATAAAATAGCTGCCAACTTCTTAAGGAGCTGGGAAGCTCTGTTTATTTAAGACAAATTGATCTTGCATCAACATTTTAAGTATCACTAGAGGGAAAGAAAAGTATTTTCATGTATTGATAAGGACACCATCTATACTTCCCTCCTATTCCCTCAAACCAGCAGGGGAATTGTAGTTTCAGTGATTTGCTGCAAATTTTACACGTAAATACCTTATTTTCTCATACAAAATTATCAGTGGAGGGAGAATGGAGCCATGTAAAACAAAAGGGATGGACACGAGTATTTTAAGTAAGGAAGAAGAGGAAAGATAGAAAAATTCATGAGTGGGTTTGGGGAAGAGATATACCCTGCACTTTATTTTCCAATCTAATAATCTCTACAACACAGTACATTTTGTAACATTTAACACATGGAAAACATATTACAAAAATGTCAAAGAACTGCTACAGAGGATAATGCTGGTTTCCAGCACACACACGTATCGTGGGGTGGTGGTAGGGGGTCCACTTCCCTAACTGTGCAGTGTTAGCATAGAAGGATGAATGCAGTTTAACACATTCTCCCATTAAAAGCTGGAAGGAAATATTGAAAGACTACTAAGAACAGTTGTGGAGGAATTTACTTGTGTTGAAAAGTAACATCATTTGAAGCTAATGTAGGCTGTGATCTATGTTTGCAGACAGCAGGACAAAAATGCAGAAATTTCATGAAAGGAAGAGCCTGTTCTGATACAGTAAAGAGACCAGGCTTTAGCATAGCATGTTAGCCACCAGCTGCAATAAACCTTGCCAATCAAAAGTTTGGCAGTTCAATAAAAAAAGAGGCGGAAGTTTGTGAACAGGGAGGGCTCTTCGACACGGAAGATGGAGCAACAGCATCCCCACCCGTGGTCAGGATTGAGCACAACCTCCCAGACGCCAAAGATGGGACAAGATTATATACTTCTATCTGTACTGTTGTCTGTCCTGTCTGTGTATAACAGCATTGAATGTTTGCCATATATGTGTTTTGTGATCTGCTCTGAGTCCCCTTCGGGGTGGGAAGTGTGGAATAGAAATACGATCAATCAATCAATCAATCAACCAATCAATCAATGAAAACTATTGAGAAAATCTTGCATAGGTATGATTGAGGATGTGTTTACTCATTGTGTGTATATGTGCTTTCAGGTTCCCTGCTGATTTATCACAGCCCTATGAATTTCATAGGGTTTTTTTAGGCAAGGAATGCTCAAGAAGTGGTTTTGCCAGTTTTTGCCTCTGAAATACAGCCTACAGCATCTGCTATTTGTTGGTGGTCTCCCATCTAAGTACTGACAAGGATTGACTTTGCTTAGATTCCAAGATCAGATGGGATCTGGTGCCTTAGCTTTTGCTTATTCATTACATCTCTTCTGATATGTCAGTAGACCAATAACTTCTATTTCTGAGATATATTTCTTGGGATGGGTATTGTTGGGACTCAGCCTGTGTTTGAGCCTGAATCTGTGATTGTGTTTCCCCCTTCTAATGTTTCTGGGTCTGATTTGGATAGTGAACCTGATGTGATAAATGAAGATGAGGTGCAAAATGGAGACACTTTGGACAATAAGGTTACTACAGTCTCTGATCGAGAAGGGTCAGGGGAAAGGCTAAGTTCTCATGAGAAAGTTCCTGTCACAGGCAGGGAAGAAAGTTTACTCCCTTCTCCAAGCTTGAGTTTGCAAGATAGTTTCATACCTACTGCAGTTAATGAGAAGATAGATAAGACCAGTCGCCACCTGGAAATCAGCCAGAACCGTCGAGAGGCTCAATGTTTACGCAGGTCAAAAAGCATTCGGCAGTTAAGGCCAAAAACTGGGGGGAGTAGGAATCAGTTTTTGGGACTTAAATTGAGCTCTTAAGAGAATTTTCTTTAGACCAGGCATCGTTTGGAATCAAGCTCAAGTCTCTTGGATATTTCTGTTTCATGTGGTCTCATCTCTAAGGATTCATGGTTTTTCAAGTGGATTAGCGGTGGCTAGACTGTTCATGGTTTTATTCTAAGGGCTTTTTGGTTATTCATTACATTTGGATTATTTCTGCAAGCTTTGGGACATTGTTATTATTCCTTTGTTTGGACACTGCTTATGTTGCTGCTTGATTTGGCTTTTTTGCTTTTGGACTTCCTCTTATTTTTATAATCATCTCTTTTATTGGCTCCAGTTATTCTTCAAATAAAAAGGATTCTTTCTTCATTCAAGGTGTGTGGTGTAATTAATGATTAGAGGGTCCTGTTCCTGTTCTAGGATGCAACAGGTATACACTTTTTAGTAAAAACATATCCTATTTATTTTAATTTTAATTTATGGTTGAAAAAATGCAGACATGGTTGAAAAAATCAAATGCAGCATTCCAGCCATGGTTTCATCCAGACAGAAATCTTTTTTCTTAGCACAGTTAAGTACATCAACTTAAGAATAGGATTTGTCTTCTTGGTAGCAGCATCATATTGTTGGCTAATGGCCGTTTTGCAAATAATGGAATCCTGATATTCTAAATCCTTCAGTGCTAGTAATTTCACGAATCCAGGAATATTTCAAAACAATTCTTTAGAAACTCTCTCAGCTGTGTAGATGCTGTTTTGGACTCTAACTCCCAGAATCCCTAATCATTGGCCAAGGGAACAGAGGCTTCTGAGAGCTCATATCTACAAGACCGAGAGGATTAGAGTTTGGGTTCACTGCTTTAATGAATGTTCGTTTAAATAAACTATTCCAATCGTACCAGTCTTTCATTACCAATTGATTCAAAAGTAAGTAGAAGCCTTCTTTTCAGGTTTAACCATCTAAAAATTGATCCCTGATATTTCAATCACACATAAAAGAGAAAAAGAGCAGGCTGAAGTCAGTTTAAGGAGTGCCTGGGAGGATATTGAGAAATTTAGAAAAGATGGAAAGAGTTTTTACACATCTAAAATGTTCTTGCAGCAATCCCATGGGCAATTATTACATGCCAATGAGATCTGCTGAAATCAATGAAACATCTATATATACATGATATAGTGGATAACTACAGTTTGTGATAAAACACTTTATGATCAGTACATTGCCTTTTTATATGTTCAATTCATTATGCGCTCAGCATTATCTAGTTTTTGCTCTAGTAAATTGTATTTGCCAGTCCTCAATTCAGAGTTTTAAGGCTTCTCCTTAAAGATATAAAATCCCAATATCAAGGACATGCTAGCCCTGAATTCATCAAGCAATTCCATATTTTCAACTAACAGTGCATTCCTGTGAGAAAGGAACGAAAACCAACATTTCAAACCAGTTTTCACAAATAATAATGTACTTTAAGAAATGTACAGATCGGTACATTTGCCTCAGAGCCAGAATAATATCCCATCTGACTTGAGACTGGAAAATATTTGTTTTGTTTTGGGCTACAACTCCTTAAATTTTCAAGTTAATATTGCCAGTGAGAAATTCTTGAGTTGTAGACCCCAGAGAAACAAGAGTTCCAAGCCCTGCATCTGTTTAAATACCATCATTTCTTAGTAGTGACTGAAGTTCTTGAACAGAAGTCTTTCCTAGAGCTCCTAGATGAGACCCTTTAAATGGAGATGTCAAAAATTAAACCTTGACCTTTCTATGTCCTTACCACTTTGCTCATTATGGGGTTCAAAGCTCCAATAGCAGCCATAATGATTTGATTCTAGTGCTTGACCTTTCGATTCTATATTTTTCCTGCCAGTTATGCCAGTCAGAGAAAACCTGCTTCGCATTATTGTTTTGAGTGAATGTCTGACAGTAAATTTTCAAGTCTTGTAAAGAAAAGAGTATGAAACAACTGGTGATTTCTATTATCAGATCAATAGAATACTGTAATTTAGAAATGTGAATGGAAGAAAGTTAATGTCTGTGAAATGCCGATCTGATCCATATTAGGAACTGTAATTTCCCTAACAGCTCCAAGCTATGTCTTTCCAATAACATGAAGCTGCATCTGACAATGTCAATTCTGATTTTCAGTGGTTTTCAGTAGGAATTTCTTACCTTTTTAACTTTAACGCCATCTTTTGGTGTTTGCTTTGTTACGAGATTGTATCCAATCATCTGATCGGCAAGCTGTCCAACCTCTTTGGGACTACATGAAAGAGGGAGGAGAATAAATATGAATATATTTTTTTAAAGATCACATACAAAGAATTAAGAAGACTAATAATAATTGCTGTGATTTTTCACTTACTCCTTCGTCAGATGCACTCCTCCTTTCAGCCCACTGCTAAAAACACCCTTTCCTCTCCCTCCAGCTAAAATTTGAGCCTTCAATACAATTTCTGTAGCTTCTGCATGAGAAAACAGACAAAAGCAGTGTAATTAAAACGTCTTATTCAACTACAATAATGATTAGCTAAGTTCATTTTTAAAAATTTTATTTACTAAAATCTACATTCATGAAAAAATAATACAATATGCCTCCCTGAATCCATGAGCTATGGATTCCAAGACCTCCCACAGATACCTGAAACTGTGGATATCATGAATGACTTTTCAATAACTTTGAAGCATAGGTTCTTTTTATTCCAATTTCCAGTGTGAGAGGGTATATCAGATTACAGAAAAACATTTAGACAAAAAATGACATTGGATATACAGACATATAGATTCTACACAACTACATTGGATTTACAATTACATTGGTTAACAACCAAACAAAGGGGAATTACATTTTCACTCAACATTCACACACATTCACATGCATTCATCCACATGCATCCAAAATATTACCATATCCTTTTCTCCCTCCTTGGGGAAGCACCTGTTAGGCCAGACCCTACTTTCCTGCAGCCTGCCAACGTATAGTTCCATAACTCGATAACTTCAAAACGCTGAAATGCCAAAACTTCTTTCTCTAAGAACAATGCCAAGGACCAGATCTCTGTTATCCATACAGCAGAACCTGACTCCCTGCACAAAATCCAAGACTCCAAAAGCGCACTTCTTTCTCTTTCCTTGAGAAAGAAGCCCCAAAGTGTCCAGAATCGTGCTTTCCCATAGCATATCTGACACTCTCCGAATACACCATCTCTCTCCTTCTCATGGAGCAGAGCATGGCGGGTGGAACAGACTCCTCAGTCTGCCACACTTTGAGCATTATTAGACTGAGTCTTTTATAGGAATATTCTGTTGATGTAGTCCCAAAGTTGTAAATTAATAATAGACGACTTCCATCCTGGCTCCATCTCATGTTTCCTGGCCAGATGTTGATCTTCTTGATTGGTGTTGACAAACACAAGGCTTGTGTTGATTTCCTTCTTAACCTTGTAAACATTTCTGTTATCACTGTCCCAATTCTTATCAGAGTTTACTCTTCAGATCTTATTAGCAGGTTTTAATCACAGTTCCAGCAAGCAGGTAGTTAGTCATTGCAGGCCTTAATATTATACTGGTGTTTCCAAAATTATTAACTCCAACCACACATCCTTCCATTCTTCCATTCATTCCCACACATCATATTAAATTCATATTTGTCAAATCTGTACATTGAATTTCTTGTGACACGGATAGTAGTGAAATTGTGCGTACTGAATTGAATATGTAGATATTTGGGTGGGGGCCATACTGTACATTCAATACAGCAACACATTACTGACTATCAAGTACTACTAAATGAAAAACCACTAAAACTATAACTAAAAGGAATACAGACAACATAAGAACAGGTTACAGAAAGGAAAATGAATAAATCAAAAGTTGACTTCCAACTTTTCTACCAACAGTATAAATAATATTAAATCCTATTTCTCCAATAGTAATGCTATTTTGCACTTCTACTTTCCAATCTGAACTACTAATTCTCAGATCCCACGGTTAGTATCTTCTCTCTTCTTTCCTGCACAAAGACAATTAATGGTTCCCAGACTTTCATAAAATCCCTGAACAATTATTCTCTTATCTAAGTGGATAACTCATCCATTTCTGCCAATTCAAACACTTTCATTATTCAAACGATTAGCTAATTTTATAATGTGACTTCACTGCACAATTTGAACAATAAATATAAAGCCCTTCCACACAGCCTTATATCAATACACAGCGTTACAATGCTACATGGTACTCTTCTTCAATAACTTTATTTTTTTTCAAGATTATTTTTATCTGAGTGCTTATAAACACACACAAAAAAGCAGATTTCAAACTGGTATCTCACAAACGTCATGTGTCTTCAAGTTGGCTCTAATTTATGGAGAATTATGGCCAGAAGGTAATTTATGTAATTGTGACAGTTGCATGCAACAACCCTTGTGAAGTGCTGGTTTACTTTCTTTTCAAATGAAATTCATTCCCAACTTTAGTCTAATTTATCTAAGCCTGTAGCTCAGTTTTAGACAAGCTTCTTTACATGCAGAGACCCTAGACTCAATCCCCAGTTTTCTATCTTAATTCATGGACAGCCACTAATAAGGTACTAAGCTAAGGTGGGTGAGAGAGAGGACTTATCCCACAACATCCCCTCTATTTATTCCTTCTGAAATTTGGAGTTATACAAAAATAATTTTGCTTCTCTTCTATCCCCCATTAATCCTCCACATACTTACACAGTTCTTTCAGAGAAGAACTAAAACAAATGAGAGAGCATTATGTAAGTCAGAGAAAGCCAACTTCCTACACTCCAGACATTTTAAATTACTACTTGCATCAGACCTGGTCAGCAGTTATCATTTAAAGAATGTGGCTTCATCTGGTTGTCCAACTCCAATGTGCAGCTATCAAGGAATGGCAATAAACAAGTTAGACTCTACCTGGTATGCCATGTACCAAATTAATTTTAGGACAAAATACATATATTTGGCTCAAGCAAGCATATCATCCCACAGGCTTATAAAACAAGCCCTGCAAAACAAGAGCAGTGAAGGAGATGTTTTCTTAAAAATCGTTGAAATCAATTATATACCAAGCCAAAGCAAAACAGATTAGCTAAATCTCTATGAAAAAATGAGGACAGATAGGAAAAACACAGAACAGATTACACCAAGCTATGGTAAAACAAGCATATTCCTCTCCTTTTTGGAATACTGCAACTGTATTGCAGCAGTATTTGTTCAGTCCATATCAAAAGATTTTCCAATTTCTCACTCTTCTCAACATCCCAATTTCAATCATCAGAACATAAACACTCCTGTGGGTGCAGTGTTGTATTAAACACAGCTCTGTGTCTGAAAAAAAATTGCAAATATCCTTTTTTAGAAATTAACAGTATTCATTTAAGCTTTTTACACCACCTCACTATTTACTACACAGAAGGACTTATTTTTAAACAAACTTTTAAAGCATACTACTTCTTACATCGCATATTTTAAACAGCACCAATGTTCAATGAAGAGGAACAAAGTTGTGCACAAGTACCACTTTAGGTGACATGTACAATGCAGATAATTTTGAAACCCTCTCGGAAAGATTAGCCCATGCTTACACTTTCCCCATTCATAAATGACAACTATGAGGAAGCTGGGATGAGTAATGTCCATTCAACTGGTCGCTCTCTTCTTAAATACATTAGACGGCCCTACCCCCACCCCCTGGACAGGTTGCACTCTTTCAACCTAGGAGGAAAGAAATGGCAGTCTGCCTCTGAATAAAACATGCCAAGAACACTCAAGAACAGAGTTGCCATAAGTCAGAATCAAACTGAAGGGACAGAGGAACCACAACGATAGCCATAACTACAATAAACGACTCCGGCCCAATTTACCTGTCCGAACGTATCCTCCCCTATGAGCCATCAAGATTACTAAGATC